TGTATGCAGAAGTATTATTTTAAGCAACACATTAAGTTGACGAAACACTCAACTCAAATGTAATTAAAGTCAGATCCACTCGTGTCTTAGATGGGGCAGTGATATCAGTAAATCATGGATGTTTAAAGTTCATATTTGTCTAATATTAGTTTACTTTTCATTAATGAAGTATGATGCTGCGCTGTCAGTACACTTGTCCCTGTTTGTGATTGGTCAAATATAGCTAACCCCGCCCCTTTCACGTGAACGCGCTCTCAGCTGGAGAGAGAAACCCTGGCTTGATTTACCGAGTTGATAACCAGCGTCGGAGGACCGCTTAGCGAGATCTCGTTTCTCAGGGTTAGTTAAGATAACTCAAACATATCCAGGATATGTTGAACTGGCTTTGTAGTACAGGGCACAGGTGGCTGCATAGCAGCGCTAATGTCAAAGACACAAACATTATACATTATATTTTTATTTTACCAGGATGCAGTGACAAAAATATTAGGGAAGGCTTAGCCTTCCCTAGCCTACAGTAGGCTACCCGCCGCCCCTGATGTGCTGTGTAAATGAAAATAAAGCATACTGTAAGTGTCATGCCTCTGATTTTGTGTGTCCGTCTGTCATTGTGATACAAGTCCTGATATTACATTGTAGTTCCAATTGCTCACATAAGTAAATACTCCTAAAATAAACTCCATACATTTTACCCTTTAAAGTCTCTGGTTTACATATCTTGGGGAGGGTTACCGCATATGTCGATAAAAGCTGTTTAAGAACTTTTTGCGACTCCAATCAGAACTGATAAGTTGAGAGAAAAGTAGAGAATGCCAAATCACAATTTCCTGAAAACCAAAAATGACTTAATCAGTTTGCCTGTTTTGTCAGACGAGCAGTCCAAAATGCAAAAATGTTGAATTTATGATCACACCAAACAACTGAGAGGTTGCTAGCAAAAGAACATTTAAAATATTCTGGTTGATCTTCTTTGACTAATCCGTGAAATCCAGCTTGATACAGAAGATACAAGACTGTATGAGAACAATCATCAAATATTTGAGAAAGATTGGGAAAACACATTTTTAAAATCCTATCCAGGCAATTCTATCACGACTATTATATGTCTGCATCTAAAACATTTCCTTATGGGAAACCATTATCTATGTAATTTACATAATCGCAAGGATACATTCCTATGGGAGACAGAAAGATTGGGGCCTAAGCACTGTCATGATCACTTCTAATGAAACACACTGAGTAGTCCTACTGATCAGGGTGTGTGTGTGTGTGTGTGTGTGTGTGTGTGTGTGTGTGTGTGTCTACAGGATTAGAGAGAGGAANCAGAAAGATTGGGGCCTAAGCACTTTCATGATCACTTCTAATGAAACACACTGAGTAGTCCTACTGATCAGGGTGTGTGTGTGTGTGTGTGTGTGTGTGTGTGTGTGTGTGTGTGTGTGTGTGTGTGTGTTTGCTGGAGGCTGACATTTACAGGATTGTGTTTTCATAGGTACAGTATGTCTCAATGTGCTGTATGTGGGAGACTACAGTAGACGATGGGAGCGTGGAGGCAGAAAGTCTTAATAATGCAGCTCGTCGAGCAGGTTGGCCTCTTCTCCATTTGCTCAGGCAGGTTTGGAGAACTGCTGATGATGCAATGTGCTGACCCAAATACACTACCTGCTCCCAGCAGACTACGCCAGCTGGGGCAATCTCTGTCTCTCTTGTTTCCCCCTCCGTCTCCTTCATAAACCCCAACCCTTCTTTTCATTTCGTCCTCTGATCGCTGAAAGGGCTCAATTGCATAATTTCCTTCTTTGTTGTACTGCTTGTGTCTCTGCTAAACAGCACTTCTCTTTGTGCAACACGAGCCAAAGCCTATTGAGTGAGTGATATGCCATTGGGTTACGCTCGATGGTCATGCGTAGTAGTGCAAAGGGCCAGAGACATCACGGCTGGAAACGTATCACCGACAAAATAAGGGCAGCCTTTTGATCAGCCATAGAAGATAACGCCGAACAACACACTACTCTACGGGTGCTTTCACAACGGTTAACTGCAGACGTACCAGATGACCAATGTCCCGCTTGTTGCTCTCACTATACAGGCAGATCAAACAAAAACAGACACTACAAAACACTCAGGTCTTTTATGTCGCCACCCGGCAGCCAGGGGAACCGCTGTATGGAGTGGAAGCTGTATTCGCATGTACAGACATCACAATAGCTGCAGGGTCACAATACATGGCAGCCATTGTACCAGGGGGTGGGGGTAATTATAAGAGAGCACACCAGAATGTCCTTTTTTAAATATCATTCCAGACTGAAAGGTATACATGTTCGCACACACAGCAGTTTTGAAATCTAGTCCAAGATATACAAGGCTAGAGAAGTCAAATGTCAAGTAAGTGAAGATGAGTCCAACCTTAGAGCCTATTCAAAGTAAGCCTTATGTCTTTTTTAAGTTGTTGAGGTTAAGTCCATATCAAGTGTCAAGACACTCAACATAAGTTAAGAGACATGCCCAAGTCTTGTTTAGTCGTTTGTCATTTCACACGGCATTTGTGTCCAATTAAATATAGTTGTAAAAATTGTGAAATCATTCAGGGAGAAAGAAATCAGGACATTTCAACTAAATTCCAAGTCTTTCA